ATCGAACTACTAGTATATATCTTAAAAGGGTAAATTTTAGTATATGTATCTAAGTTATACCTCAAGAACTTTTTCTAATTCAAATATTTAAATAACCAATTCTTAAGTAGATGTGGGCAAATAGAGAAAGGACTAGCAAGAACTTTGGCAGTGATGCAGGTGGTGTGGTTTTATCTTGTTTGGGGCTTGGACATAACTGTGCTCTGTCACAGGTTCCATGGTATTTTTTTATTTATTTCTAGAGGCCCAGTGCATGAATTCGTGCATGGGTGGGTCCAGTGGCCAGCCCCGATTAGGGTGATCTGGTCAGGCCAGCCTCGGGGAGGGGCTGAAGGTGGTTGGTGGGCCAGCCCCGCCCTCGATGAGGGGAGGCGATAAGGGATGGGGCTGGCCTGAGGCAGGGGCCTTGGGTGGTTGGTGGGCCAGCCCAGCCTTCTGGTCCAATTCAGGTGGAACTCCCAGTAGAGGGGGCAATTTGCATATTACCCTTTTATCATATAGGATCGATTTCAGAGAGGAAGGGAGAGGGAGAGAGAGATAGAAACATCAATGACAAGAGAGAATCATTATTTGGCTGCCTCCTGCACTCCCCCTATTGGGGATTAAGCCCGAAATCTGGGCATGTGCCCTTGACTGGAATCAAACCTGGGACCCTTCAGTCCACAGGCCAATGCTCTATCCACTGAGCCAAACCAGCTAGGGCAAGTCCCCTGGGATTTTAAATTTTTATTTATTGATTTTAGAGAAAGAGATGAAAGGAGAGAGAGAAACACCAATTTGTTGTTTCACTTACTTATGCATTCATAGATTGATTCCTGTATGTGCCCTGACTGGAGATCGAACCTCCAACCGTGGTGTATGCGGACGATGCTCTACAATTGAGCTACCCAGTCAGGGTAGGCCCCACGGTGTTTTAGAATCCTTTTTTTTGGAAGGTCTCCTGTGCCAGCTTGAGCAAGTTGGGGAGACTAAGGCTGAGTGGCTGGGACCCTGCCTGCTCCAACTGCAACAGACCTCTCCTCCACTGGCCCCCAACGGGGCCATTCCTCCACTAGGCCTGGCTGCTGACCCTGTTGAGGCTTGAGCTCCCACACTCTGAAATTTTCCCTCCGCGGGCTCCAGACTCAGCACGGCCTGTCTTCTATTCACTGCCCACGGCCGGTGGGACTCCGCTCATCTCCACGCTCTTTGAAGAAAAGGAAGAACCTAAGTTTTCCTGGGCTGGGAGGACTCGGTGTCGAGTCAGTCGCTCAGTACTCCTTTGTGAAGCTCTGACCCTCAGAAGGAGGGGGAGTGGAGACACAGTCCAAGCCTCCTCCACCCCAGCCCAACTCAGCGCTGACTAACCTGATAGGAGGCACAGGTGGGCCACAGACTCAGCAAAGGGCGACCAGAAACAGCTTCTGTGCTGATATGAACAACACGCCTCCATGTGAGAAGGCCCACCCCATGGAGCCGGGATGGCACCGAGCCAAGCCTCCAGCCATAACTGCAAGTGCAGGAAAGCCCAGAATAGGAAGTGTTTTGCCAGCTCTGGCAGCTCCTCCCACACGTGCTGCAGGGTATGGGTCAGCTGCCAGCATTAACTCTCCAACCCAGGCCTTTGTCTTTGTTCTATTGATTTTTAATCTGAGAGTTACAGACTAAAGCGTGGTCACTGCAAACATCTCTTGCTTGAGTTGTCCTATGTTGAAAAATGCCAACTCACACTGATGAGAAATTAATAATTTTTTGTGGCTACCTAACAGCTCATTTTGAAAAACTGAGGCTGAAAGTTCTGAACTGTCTGGCAAGCTGGGGAAGGCATTGACTGATTACAGCTTGGTTAGTGCTTTACCACCTAAACACTTAAAAGATTGTAATAAGCCATAATTGGTTTGGCTCAGTGTTGACCTGCGGACTGAAAGGTCCCAGGTTCGATTCCGGTCAAGGGCATGTACCTTGGTTGCGGGCACATCCCCAGTAGGGGGTGTGCAGGAGGCAGCTGATCGATGTTTTTCTCCCATTGATGTTTCTAACTTTCTATCCCTCTCCCTTCCTCTCTGTAAAAAAGAAAAAAAAATCAATTAAAAAAGATATATTTTTAAAAAGATTGTAATAAAATGCAACAGTGAGAAGTTAAAAGAGTGCCTTAATCCCACCCTGCCAATCAAAGCCCTTCTGATAGGCAGATTTCTTTTGTAAATTGTTACTTTGTGTATGGATTATATGGTTTGCTCAAGTCTCTGATTAAGTGGACATTTTTGGCAGAACAAGTGCTGTTTCCTGTAACCCCACAGTTTGGAGACTGGTTTGACAATAGATTCCTCTTTTCCTTTAGACCTATTGTCTAACCTTCCAGAGAGAACTCCACCCTCATCTCCAAAGAACACAGGCAAAGATGTATCAGCATAAGTCATTTATTGCCAATAAATCTCTAATATCATATGTTAATGGGCCTGACCGTTCACTCAGGACTGTTAGGGATGGGGGCCAGGAGTGTGATGAAGGTATAGCATGTGGAGACCGGTAGCTGAGGGGCAGACTTGATGCCTAGCTTGCTGGCGAACAGTCTTGGTCAGCTGAGCTGCCTTGGACAGGGAGGAGCTAGGCCCGGCAAAAGCCCTCAGCTCTCCTTTGGCCATCCCATCCCAGGTGTCCAGCCCTTCCTCCTGCTTCCACGTTCGCTGTCCTGTGTGGGTGAGGGAGATGTAGGGAGATAAGAAGCTCTCTAACTGCCAGGCTTGTGGGCGCTACCCACCGAGCATGGGATTCCCAGGCTAGTTGTTGGCTGGAGAAGGTCTTCGAGGACTTGGGCCTTCATTGCAGTATCTTCAGACAGGTGGGGATGAGGGATGGGGCCTTGACCTTAGGGGGCTGCCCTTCCTCTGTGGCATCCAGAAGCTGCTGCATGTAACAGGAGGTGCCGAGCAGCATGTGGCCCGTGGCCTGCATGCTGAAGAGGGCCCAGCGAAGAGCTTCCCTGGATGGGGTGAGAAGGGGGTAGAGTTAAAACACAGAGAAGACTCCCGGCTGCATCTCCTCAATGCTCCTCCCCCTTGCTCCTTTAATAATCCCATAACTTGCAGAGTGATATGAAGATAGGAACAGATGCTGCCTTCCCCCAGCAAATGGGAAAGGGTCTACAGGCATTACCTGCAACTGTACCTTCACTGAGATGTCCAAAATTCAAGCTCATTTAACAAGGCCATTTATTTATTTGTTTGTTTATTTTTTTAATCCTCACCGGAGGATATTTTTTCCATTGGTTTTTAAAGAGAGTGGAAGGGAGGGAGGAGAGGAAGAGAGAGAGAAAGAAACGTTTATGAGAGAGACACATTGATTGATTTTCTCCTGCATATACTCTGATTGAACCACAACTAAAGTACATACCCTTGGTCAGGAATCTAACCCGAGACCCTTGGGTCCAACAAGACCTATTATTTTTGTAATACTACTTGGGCTAACCAATATAACATGATCTACCATCTCATGTTATATAGATGATGTTATATTGGTCCACAAAACATGAAGATCATAACTCTGCCCTTCACAACTGTTGTAGACCCTGGGGTCATAGTGATCCCACGCAGGGTTAGGAGGTTGAAATAGCACAAATCACTTAACGTGGGATCTGATGTGTAGAAGAACAGGGGAAATGTGGTGGAGTCAAGAGTAACTGGTTGAATACTTGACTGCTTTAACTAAGTCCTTTAGCCAAATCTGTTTAAAAGATAGGTGAGAGTCACTAGTGGTGTCAATCTCAGGGGTTAGGATCAGGAGGGGAAAACAAAATGAAAATAAGTACTTCCTGGCTGATATTAAAACTTGTCTTCTATTAACCTTCATTCAATAAATTCTGGTGGAGGCCCTGGCTAGTCCTGATATGCTAAGATTGCGGGTTCTATCCCTGGTTAGGGCACATACAAGAAGCAACTAGTGAATGCATAAATAAGTAGAACAACCAATCAATGTTTTTTCCCTTCCTCTGTCTCTAAAAATAAATAAATAAATAAATAAATAAATAAATAAATAAATAAATTCTGGTCGAGGTAGGGATGGGGGCAGAAAGACAGAACCATAAACATCTACACATAAAAAGAGTTTGAAATTCTCTGAAATAAAAAAATATATATATATTTAAATATACTCCCCCTCCCCACCCCCCCACCCCCCCAGAGGAAGGGAGAAGAATTTAGAAACACTGATGAGAGAGAAACATCAGTCAGCTCTCTCCTGCGCGCTGCCTACTGGGGATCAAGCCCACGACCAAAGTACACGCCCTTGACCAGAATCAAATCCGAGACCCTTCAGTCCTTGGGCCAATGCTCTCTATCCACTGAGCCAAACCGGACAGGGCTATTTCAGCATTCTTGATGGACATACATATAGGTGGGGTTTTGAATTCTCCTTGTAACTGATTGTAACTTCTTTTCCCTCATTAATTAGTGAATTCAATAAAATCTTTGACACATGTTCATTTTTAATAGTTGATTAGAAAACTACTTAGGAAAACATACTATTTTAAGTGGGAAAAAATTGTTATAATAGAAGATAATTAGAAAAACTAAACGTATCCCAGTTCTACCTGGAGGAGTATGTGTACCCCTTTGGCTTACATTAGTGAAAATGTAAAGCACTAGTTCAGCCATAAGATCTAGCGCATGCGGTCATGCGTTGTCAGGCTGAGGCCCATGTGAGCAGATAGGGGCTCTCCCATTGCTGCATACCCACCCTGCCCGCAGCAAATCCCAAGTCACTCACTTCATGACGCGCTTGGCCCCATAGCAGTGAAGATTGTAGGAAAGAGAATATGTGCCGTAGAGAGTTGCCTTTATGTTCAGGCAGCCAATGAAGTCCTGTGGGTTCAGCTTGTACAGGTCAAAAGTTACACGGGCCACATCGATCTTCTTGACAGGCGTACGGGAGAGGGAGAGCTGGTACCTAGAGGCCTGCATCGAGACAAATGTGTGGTTGGCACCCCTCAAGGACTTCTGATTCCCAATGCTCTCCCTCCACAGGTGGCACCTCACCTGGTCTGATGGGGGCTGCCATTTCTGCCCCTTCTGGAGGGCCATGAACACTGTGTCGTCTGCCAGAGCTTGGAAATACTCTTCTGTCTCCACCACCGTGCCATCTTCCTCCAGCACCAGGAAGAAGGGCTTGTTTGCCAGCATCAGGGTGTCCCGAACCTGGGGAATAAGGTTGGTGATGCTTCTGCCACCCCCATGCAGCCCAGAGCTGGGATGGGGAAGACCCACATCACATCACAGGGAAAGAACAAGGGGCCCGGGTCTGTGGAATGGGACTGCAGCTCAGGCTCTTGCTGTGAGATCACCATCCAAAGATGTAGTATGGTATCTCCTGGTGCCTGGCATCATGGTTAATATTCTAGAAGAGTGATGTCCAGTAAAAATATAATGGAAGTCACATATGTAAATTTCTATTGAGATAGAACACATATGCTATAAAATTTGACCTTTTAGAGTATAGAATTTAGTGTTTTTCACACATTCACAAAGTTTTATAACTACCACTATCTTATTTCAGAATAAAAAGAAACCCAGTACCCATTAGTAGTCATTCCCCATTTTCCAACCCATGACAACTTCTACTTTATAGGATTTGGCTGTTCTGGACCTTTATTTCGGATAAACAGAATCATATATTATGTGGTCTTTTTACACTGGCTTCTTACTATGTTTCAAGGTTCATCAATGTTGCAACATGATTCACTCTTCATTATGGTTGAATCATATTCTAAATTATAGATATACTACATTTTTTATTGATTCATCAATTGATAGACTTGCGATAGTTTCCCTTTTTTTTGAGTATCACAAATAATGCTGTTATTCATGTACAAATTTGGGGGTGAAAATATATATCCTGTTTTCCTGGATATATGCATAGGAGTGACGCTGCTGAGTCATATAGTCAACATCATACTTAACTTTTTAAAGAACTACCAAACTGTTTTCAAAAGCAGCTACATCATTTTATATTCCCACCAATAATGTATGAGGATTCCAATTTCTACACAACCTCATCAACATTTGTTATTGTCTGTCTTTTATTTTAGTCAGGCTAATGAAGTGATTCTGGTTTACATTTCCCTAATGACTAAGATGTTGAATACATTTTCATGTGTTGTTACCCATTTGTATTATATTCTTTTAAAAATATATATTTTTATTGATTTTTTTACAGAGAGGAAGGGAAAGGGATAGAGAGTTGGAAACATTGATGAGAGAGAAACATCGATCCACTGCCCCCTGCACGCCCCCTACTGGGGATCGAGCCTGCAACCATGGTACATGCCCTTGACTGGAATCGAACTCGAAACCATGGCCCAATGCTCTATCCACTGAGCCAAACTGGTCAGGGCTGTATTATATTCTTTACAGAAACATCCGCTCAAACTCTTTGTTCATTTTTAAATAGGCTATCTTTTTATTATTGAGTTATGAGTTCTTTATATATTCTTGATACTCAATGCTTATGAGATATGTGATTCACAAATATTGAGGTATTTTATCCCATTCTGTGGGTTGTCTTTTCATTTTTTCATAGTGTCTGTTGATGTAAAACAAGTTTTTAATGCTGATTGTTCCCCTTTTGGTTGGTTGTGCTTTGGTGCCATATCTAAGAAACCAAAGTCGTAAAGACTTACACCTATGTTTTCTTCTAAGGGTTGTATGGTTTCAGCTCTACGTTTAGCTCTTTAATCTAGTTTGACTTAACTTTGTACATAGTGTGAGGTAGGAATCCAATTTTTTTTCCATGTGGTTATCACATCATCCCCCCACTATTTGTTGAAGAGAGTATTCTTTCTCTATTGAATAGTCTTGGCACCCAGTAAAAAAATCAATTGACCATAGATACATGGGTTTATTTCTGGACTTTCAATTCTATTCCATTGGTTTGAATTTTCTAATGGCATACCCTGGCCGGTGTTGCTAAGGGCATGTACCTGGGTTGCAAGTTTTATCCCTGTCTAGGCACCTGAGGAGGCAACCAATTGATGTGTCTCTATCGCATTGATGTGTGTGTCTTTCTCTCTCCCCCTTCCTCCCTCCCTTCCACACTTTCTAAAAATCAATGGAAAAAATATCCACTGGTAAGGATAAATAAATAAATAAATAAATAAATAAAATTTCTAATAGCCACATTAAAATAAGAACAGGTAGAATTACTTGTAATATATTTAATTCAATCTAAAAATATATAACTACAGCCGAAACCGGTTTGGCTCAGCAGTAGAGCGTCAGTCTGCAGACTGAAAGGTCCCAGGTTTGATTCCGGCCAGAGGCATGTACATTGATTGCGGGCACATCCCCAATAGGGGGTGTGCAGGAGGCAGCTGGTCGATGTTTCTCTCTCATCAATGTTTCTAGCTCTCTATGTCTCTCCCTTCCTCTCTGTAAACAAATCAATAAAATATATAAAAAAATATATATATAACTACAATAAAAATTTTATAAGATTTTACATTTTTTTCCATATTGTCTTCAAAATCTTATATGTGCTTCATATGTAAACACATCTCAATTTCAACTAGATAAATTTCAAGATTTAGTAATCACATATAACTACCGTAGTAGCTACTGCATTGAATAGTGCAACTCTAGCGATAAAGAGACATAAGTTTGAATTCTAGCTTCTCTACTTCATTGTTCTGAACCTAAGTCACCTCATTTCTCTAAACTCGTTTAATAATTTAAAAAGTTGAGGCAAATACATTAGAACAGTCACAACAATTAAATGCAAAAGTCTGAGATGATAGCCTAGTTTAAATCCCAGTGAATACACTTGGCCTCTGCCCCTAGAAAATGGGAAGAATTGTAGCTGCCTCAAGGTGATGATTATAAGAAATGCTATGATATATATAAGGCATTTGGCAGAGTCCATAGTCCATAGTGTGCATTTACTAAAATTTATACTATACTAATTAAAATGGAAAGAGAACTATGACATGTTATAGGATGAAAAGTCAGCTCTATACTACATAACCCCATTTAAGTATTATATAAGGATAGACTATATAGGGCATTCACAGTTACACCATTAGTTCTCTCGGAATAGTAGGATTTTCACTTTACTATTCTTAGTTGGATCTGTTAGAGAACATATTTTTCTGCTTAAAATCCTTTAATATAGGCCTGGGATGAGCAATACACCAACAGCAGTGAACACACCTAGCTCTCAGATCTTGTTTTCTGAGTACCATTCTTCACTAAAATGAAAAAGACCTTCTTAGAAAAAATGGTGAACTTGAGGGCTAGGACAGGAAAGGTTCAGGATGAGCCTGCAATACCTTGTTGTACCAGTAAGTCAGAAAGCGCAATACAGAAATAAGGCCATGTCCCACTGGCCAAGTCTGGGACGATTTGAGCATCAATAAATAATCTGTTACCATCCTTATATCCCATTTAAATGAGGATACTTGAGTCCTTTTTGATATCTATACTAATAAAAGGGTAATATGCTAATTAGACCGGGAATCCTTCCTGACAAAGCTGGCCTGGGCTAAGCTGCCCGCCTGTGGTCTGGGGTGCCAGCGCCTGAGGCTGCTGCCCAGGAGAGGGCGAAGCTGCCCATCCATGGTCCCAGTCGCCTGCAGCTGTGGCTACAGCTCAGACAAAGCCGGCTCGGGTCCCAGGTGCCTGCGACTGGCCAGAGGAAGGGAAGCCCAGGTCCTGGGTGCAGCCAGCCAGAGGAGCGAATTCTGGGTCCCAGGTGCAGGGCCAAGGCAGAAGTAGTTAGGAGTGATCAGGCAAGCAGGCAGAGATGGTTAGGGGCAATCAAGCAGGCAGGCAGAGGGGTTAGGGGTTAGAAGTGGTTAGGGGCAATCAGGCAGGCAGGCAGGCAGGCAAGCGCTTAGGAGATTGTGAGAGGCATGTCCAACTGCCGGTTTAGGCCCGATTCAAACTGGCCGTCGGACATCCCCCAAGGGACCCCGGATTAGAGAGGGTACAGGCCAGGCTAAGGGGACACCTTTTACCGCGTGCATGAATTTCATGCACTGGGCCTCTAGTAAGTAAAAAAATAAATTTAAATTTAGATGCAGAATGAGATTTTACTTGGTGCAAAGTACTTCGCTATAAAATAATTAACAGAAAGAAAAAAACAATAGCTTTATATAGAGAAGCCTGACTGTACCTTTAAAAATTCTTTTTACACCGGAACCAGTTTGGCTCAATGGATAGAGCGTCGGCTTGGGGACTGAAAGGTCCTGGGTTCGATTCCGGTCAAGGGCATGTACCTTGGTTGCGGGCATATCCCCAGTAGGGGGTGTGCAAGAGGCAGCTGATTGATGACTCTCTCTCATCGATGTTTCTAACTATTGTATCTCTCTCCCTTCCTCTCTGTACAAAATCAATAAAATAAAAATAAATAAATAAATAAAAATTCTTTTTACTTAATGATGAGAGAGAAAGAGAGAGACAGAGACAGAGAGACAGAGAGAGAGAGAGAGACAGAAAAAGAGGCACAATTCCCTGGCCAGTAGCTCAGTTGGTTAGAGCATCATCCAGTACATCAAAGTTGTGGGTTTAATTCCTAGTCAGAGCACATACAAGAATCAATTAATCAATGCATAAATAAATGGAACAACAAATCAATGTCTCTGTCTCTGTCTCTTCCTCTTCATCTCTCTTTAAAATCAATAAATTAAAATTAAAAAATAAAAGGATTCACAATTAAATAGAACACTTGATCCTGACCTGGGTCCTTTTGCTACAAAGCACATTATTAGATTAATTGCAAACACTTGAATGTAGTCTCAAGATCAAATGGTAGTTATATAATACTAGAGGCCCAGTGCATAAAATTCGTGCATGGGTGGGGAGGGGGCTATCCCTTAGCCCGGCCTGTACCCTTTCCAATCTGGGACCCCTCTGAGGATGTCCAAGTGCCTCTCGCAATCTGGGGTCACTGGCTCCAACTGCTTGCCTGCCTGCCTGCCTGATCGTCCCTAACCACTTCTGCCTGCCTGTTTGATCACCCCTAACCACCTCTGCCTGCCTGCTTGATCACCCCTAACTGTCCCCCTGCTAGCCTGATCATTCCTAAATGCCTCTGCCTTGGCCCCACACCCAGGACCCAGGATTCCCTCCT